CTTCACACATACAAACCCAGTTTTTTATAAATGTTATGTTGGATAAAAAAAATGATATTACTGGGCTATTGGGCTATAATTAAATCTTTTGTAACCAAAAAAAAAAAAAAGACAATCAGACGGTTTCAACGTTGTCAAGTAGGGCTGCACAATATATCGCTTCAGCATCGATATCGCAATGTGATTATTTGCAATATAAAAATCACATAATCTAAAATGTGGAGTCAGGATTATAGTTAACCAGAAGCCACAGTTTTTTTGTTACACTTTGATTATTTGCATTTATTTCTAAGGTCTGTGAGTTTAACATCCCATTCATACGTAGACATGGGCCAGAATAAGATTCTGACAGAGAGATAACCTTGCATAAAAATATTACAGTTTCACGGTATTGTGATTACTGCTCTAATATATGTTCTTTAAATTGTCTGGGGAAAAAAAAAAAAATTTCCCCATTTAATACAATATATTTTATTCTAAGAAAGATTTTAAATATTTTGAAACTAAACTAAGTTAAAAGCTAAATAATTCAAATAAATCACCACAATACAGATTTCTTTACAACCTGAAAAGGCATCTTTAGATATCTTTCCTTTTTTGGATATAAATTAAGCCACTGCATTGATGATCTCATAGCATGCTTGGATGTTGGTTTATGAGCGATTTGTTTTTCAGATGTTTGCTGAAGCGTAGGCTTACCAGTAATTTTTGATGTGTATTTCCTTTTCTGCTTGAGATGCACTGTCAACAATTTCTGTAAATTACACTGTATTTAACTGTAAAGTGAACAGCATTTTACTTTAGAACGGTTATGCAGAATGTCACTGTAATTTAAAGTTGCATTCTGGGAAATATCTTCTTGGTGCCAGTAAAATACAGTATTTTTAATTTTGCTGTAAATCAAAATAAAATAAAACAAGAGCACGAAACATGAGCAATCACAGAAAAGGATTTTTTTTCCGCCTGAAGAAAGAAAACACAGATCCAAGAAGCTGGCAGCTACGCGGTGTGTGTAAATGCTTTTATGTTTCCAAAAATACTTTATATTCGAGGTTTAATTCATAAAAATAAATACAAATAATAAGTAAACAAAACTAAATTTGTGTCTGCGCATCACTTAACGATGTGCGGTAAACAAGGCTAAAACACTAAATGAAGTAGTTGTTAAAAAAATTTAAATAAAAAACTTGCTAGACCGTGGGATCCGTATGGCAGAAAATTTTAGCGGTTTTAAAACCTTGACTTTTCCAAACCACGGTAAACCTTGAAACCGGTTATCGTCCCATGTCTATTTACACGGGGCGTCAGCGTCAACGCTTCCCGTTCACCTTGAATGGGTGATGTCAGGCATTGTCAAACTGCATTGTGGATCCATCAGCGGTGATTCAGCAGCATTGGGAATTTCTCAACCTTTTAAGTGTCAATGGATGCACCAGCCAATCAGATTGCTTTATGCAAGTACACCAACTCAGACAGTAGTGGATTGTGCACTTATTTGAATTGGCTGATGCTGCTATGACGATTGCGTCAGCCCCAACTACAGACACGCCTCTGTCAAGCGTTGTGAAACCCCGTGTGAATCGAGCATAAGCATTACAAGCTAGTTTTAAGCATTCAGGCATCAATGATTGATCATGTTTGTAACTTAAAGAAAGATCATTAAAGTCCATACATGGTTATTTTACATTTGATAATTTAATTTATGTAATTGAATACTAGTACATTCAAATTTAACAAAAAAGCAATATTTATTTTATTTGTATCTTTACTACTGTATTTACCAATGCTTGTGATTTGTTTATTATATTTCATGCAGATGTGCTGGCCTACAAATTTGTACTGGCCTAAGTTTGTGTACAGAATTTACAAATTCTTTCTAAATAGAGCTATACAGTAGAAGCCAACTGGTGAAATTATGCTCAATATCGCAATATGTAAGGCAGAAAAATAAAATATCACAATGTTAATTTTTTCCAATTTCATGCATCCTATTATCATGTACTGCTTGTTAATTGATCTTTGAATTGTTTAAAATTACATTTAGATTAAGTATGCAAAATCATAATTATAATTAAGTATTAAAAACTGTCAGATGCTGATTAATTAAAAAAGAATCAGCTATTAACAAATATGACTACAACCATACTGAACATTTTTGACAAGAACTAATAATAATACTGAAGGGACAAGTGCGTAAGTGCAAGGTAATGAAAACTAAAAATCTGCTGCCTCTGCCAGAAATTGAAAAAGCGCACAAACAAACAGTAATGTTTTGAAAGCAATAGTGTTTACATCCTTAGGGATGACAACCTATGAGTAGTTAACTTGTAGTCGTCTCTTTTCATTAAATTGGGACAGGAAAAAGTGCTTTAACATAACTATAAACCAACAGCAATGACTGTGATGCACTAGAGGAGCAAGATTAAATTTTGCCTCATGCTGTTTGCCTTGTAAGACATCTACATTTCAGATGCAACTCACAAGAGACACAAGAAATAAGGATTTCAGGTTAAACGCCAATAATGTTTTCGAGACTCTCCTGTGAATATTCGGTGCATTGATTTAGACAAAGTTGTTGAAATAGACTTTTTCCAACTGCAAATACAAAACTAGTGTCATAATACTGAACTTCGATATGATACCATCAAAAATATTAATATTCGATACCATTTTTGATACCACATGAAAATATTGCAACAGCATTAATTAAAATGAAAATCTTTGAAATTGGGTGGAACTGGGAATTCACTGCTATTATTTTTAAGACTTCAAGTAGCAAGGGCTGCACGATATTGGAAAAAGCTGACATTGCGATATTTTGTTTTCCTGCAATATGGTGATATTAATATAATTTCAAAAGATAACTATTTAAAAAAAACTCACAATTTTACATTGATTTTAATAATTTTGTAGGGAAGTGCATCTGTATAAAATATACACAATTCTACAAAAATACACACAGTAATATAATTTAAAGCACAGATGAAAACAATAGAACAAAGATAAAAATTATATAAACAACACTTTATGGTTTTTGGTGGAGTCTAACAGTACAGAGATTTAGAAATCTAATAATGAAAAATAACAGTGTCTTCTTTTTATAAAAACAGAGCAAGTACATTGTCATAGTATGTCCGATAATATGTTTTTTAATTGTTTTAATCCGGCTATAATAAAAGCAGTTTTTAATTGATAAAAAAACATTTTAAGGTCAAAATTTTTTTTTTGAGAGTCTACAGAACAAACCATCTTTATATAATAATTTGCCTAATTACCCTAACCTGCCTAGTTAACCTTATTAACTTAGTTAAGCCTTTAAATGTCACTTTAAGCTGTATAGAAGTGTCTTGAAAAATATCTAGTAAAGTATTATTAGTAGTATTAGTATTAGTTGTATAATTTATTGTCATCATAGTAAAGATAAAATAAACCAGTGATTAGAAATAAGTTATTAAAACTATAATGTTTGTAAATGTGGTGAAAAAATATCAGAAATTGAAAGAAAAAAAAATAAACAGAGTGGCTAATAATTCAGGGGGGCTAATAATTTTGACTTCAATTGTATATAATTATATATTTTTCTTCCATGTTATATAATTTATAAACTTTTTCCTTCTATTTATAAACATATAAACCCAATTAATTGAATCTAATCTAATCGTTAAAGCAGAAAACATCATAATCTTGTGTCCAAATGGCTTAAATGAACTTAAAATCTCTGAACTTAAATTCCTGATTCGCACATTGCATTATCAATGCTGAAACGATATATTGTGCAGCCCTACCAGTAGCCATTAAGTGAAGCGCAGCCACCAAATAATTGTTCACGGTTGAACTTGTGCGCTTTTAGAGAAAAATTAGGTAACACAAACATGTAAATTTGACAAAATTTTGCTTAATATTTTAAAATCATAAAAACTTAACATATCGAACATAATAAAATCAACAAAATGAAAAAGACAGTGGCACTTATAGATAGCAGTAATAGTGTTTTTAAAAATTCTAATTCAATACTGTTGTGATAATACCACACTTCAGTATGATACCTTCAAAAATATCGAAATTCAATACCATTTTTGGTACCACATGAAAAAATTGCAACAGCATTAAGTAAAATGAAACTTTTTAAGGCTGAAATGGGTGAACGCGAAACTGGTGCAAGCATGAAATCATGGTTATTATTTTTACATGACACTGGTGGCCATCAAGGGAACTACAGCCAGCAATTAATTGTTCACAGTTGAACTTGTGCAGGCGACACAGTTTCTGTGAGGAGTTTGCATGTTCTCCCTGCGTTCAAGTGGGTTTTCTTCGGGTGCTCCGGTTTCTCCCGCAGTCCAAAGACATGTGGTATAGGTGAATTGGGTGGGCTAAATTGTACGTTGTGTATGAATGTAAGTGGGTATGTGTGGATGTTTCCCCGAGATTGCGGCTGGAAGGGCATCCGCTGCATAAAACAAATGTTGGATAAGCTGGCGATGCATTCCGCTGTGGTCACCCCAGATTAATAAAGGGACTAAACCGAATGAATGAACTTGTGCACTTGTAGTGAAAATTAGATTACACTAACATGTAAATTAGAAAAAAAAATCTTTTGGTTAATATTTTAAATTAGAAAAACGTAACATATCTGACATAATTTAATGAACATAATAAAAAAAGACAGCGGTACTCACAGATAACAGTAATAGTGTTTTAAAAAAATCGAATTCAAAACTTGTGTTGTCGTAATACTTGACTTCGATACGATACTTTTAAAAATAATGATATTCGATACCGTTGTTAGTACCTCAGGGAAATATTGCCACAGCATTAATTAAAATGACAAATTAACATTAGAAATGGGTAAACGTAGAACTGTGGTGAGCCTGAATTCACTGCTATTATACTATTATTCTTTTATTTTAATATAAAAATATAAATAGTTCTGACAGCACTGAAAACTGAAATGAATTCTGCAATGTGTAGTCATTGCGCAGAAAGTCAGGCTATGAGCTCACCTGTCTGTTACGCTCGTCTGTGATTCGCTGAATCTGGATCTTTTTCCTCCCCATGGCTGCTGTGATTGGCCGTGCAGGGGTGGAAGGGCAAGGTTGGGGGTGTGGTGAGGTCAGAGGTCAAATGTTCTCCAGGCAGTTAAAGGAGCACAACAGTGGCTGTTCGTCTTGGTGTATGAAGATGAGTGTGTGTGAGAGAGTCTCTCTCTCTCTCTTTCTGCCACCTGTCTGAGGCAGCTGGGCTCACCCGTCTTCCTCCACTGACAAAAAAGGAAGGAGGGAAGGAAGAAAGAAAGTGTGTGGCCTCCTGGTAGGGCCTTCAGATCATGGTCTGCTCAGGGTGCATGTCATCCGACAGGTGTCTGTTCTGATATCCAAACCCCCCCTGGAAAAATCTGGTGATGGAGATGATGAGGGTCTTGTAATGAATTCTGTGAAAGAAAGAAGAAAAAAACAGGACTTAAAAACCAAACTGAGGAGTCAATTGATCAATATATTTAATTTAGTTTGAAGGGGGTCGGAAGAGAAATAAAGTGCTCAGCATAACTGAGTATACCTCATTTTGAAAATGAAATTTTATCAATTTTTTTGTTAATATAGGCAATGTATTTTGGTGCATTTAAACAAAACAGATTTATACAAAACAAATAAATATTTTTATTAAAATAATATTTTAGTCACCAAACAAATTTAGAAATTGAAAGATAAAACAATTGAATTCAAGCAAAATATTGAAAAAAAAAATTGCAACCTATAAAATTTCAACTAAAATTTTTCTTTTTTTATTCACTTGCTTTTCCTCTATTCTTAATTTTGAATTTAATACTTTTCTACAACATATAAATTTGGGTGTTTCTGAACCGTTATTGTAAGTTATTTTGTTAGATAAGCTCCAGATTTGGCTTCAGTACTGACTAATCTAATGTATATGCATTATGCACACATATGTTTTATAGCTTCCTAATAAACTCATGAATTTAAAAGATAGATTTGTGAGAGGTGTACGTATATCTGCTGAGCACTGTAAAAAAATCAATTTAATTTCATAAGTAACATATTTGTAAATCATTTTAGCAAAATTAATCCCGTAATGGCAAAACTTAAATTTCAGCATTATTACTCAAGTGTTTAAAACAACAGCGCTTACTTTAAATAATCTTTTCATTGTCAATATTTCTGATCAATTTATATCAATACCCAAAATTCATAATCTATAATCAGAATTTTAACTCTCATACTCTGCTGACTGATTCGTATTTCTTCATGTTGTCCCAATTTAAATCAATTAGGTTAACTTCATTTGAACACATTTAAGTGGATTCAACATAAAACAGGTTGTTCCAAAAAACTAAAGAATTGTGTTGTTTCAATTGATTTTAAATAACTAGATTAAACAAGCAGCAAAACATTTTTTGAGTGTATGAGAACAAATAAAATATTGCTACAATATTATTAATAATAACAATTTCTAAGATAAAACATTAATGAGCAAGACTTGTAAATATCCCTGTGGTCTGCATGTGATCATTCAATTGTCTGTTATTAACACAAACTCTGCGTAACAAGCATTCTTTTATTATCAGTAAATGACATTTTTAAACCCTTGTATAGACACTGAACACACACAATCTTCTCCGGCTGAACAAATACTTAATAATAAACTATGAAATAATTCATTCTCCATGACCTTTTAAGACCTTCAATTTCAATAACTTTTCCATGCCTTGAAATGACACTTTAAAAATTCCCTGATATTGCCATGTTTTCAGGTTGGGAACTTTAAAGCTTAAAAAGAGCTGCCTGATGAACCTTGAGCCGCCGCCATATCTGGGTTTCCCCTAAACCGCACATATCATGACACTCACGTATAAGCCTGACAGAGTCTGTGCTCTGGTTGAGAAACCGCTGACGCTGATGCTGCTTGCAGAGCTAAAGCATCTTCACCTGCAGGGAAACACCTGCTCAAGTGTCTCAGTGCTTGAGAGTGTCATCCAGCTCAACTCAAGTACCCCTTTTAACCGTTTAATAAACATGCCTATTTCAGCTACGTTTGAATCTTTTGAGAAGAAATGTTCACTTTAAATATAACAACAGGAAAAAAAGAAGAATTGGAGAGTGAGAAAAGATGCCTGGAAGTGAGACAGCATTCGTTTGTGTACTACTTGTGTGTGTGTGTGTGTGTGTGTGTGTGTGTGTGTGTGTGTGTGTGTGTGTGTGTGTGTGTGTGTGTGTGTGTGTGTGTGTGTGTGTGTGTGTGTGTGTGTGAATGAACGCCTGCATGAATGAATTTACTGCAGTCTAACAATTGTCATATGGGCCAGGATAATTTTAAAACATGCTATTATTATCTCTGGCTGCGATTAAAAAAAAACAACAACCAGGGGCTTAAAACAGAATTCTATATATACATCCAGACTGAAAACAGTCACGCTCACACATCCCCATATGACTGCTGACACAAGATGACTCCCTGATCAGCAAAGCCTGCAAACTTCCTCATTTCCCTTCATCAGGTCAGAGTGCACATGCTAGAGATAATCTGATGAGGCCAAGCTGCATTTCAACAAGGCAAATTACAAGGTGTCAATTCAGAGCCACTTTCCATGCAATAAAAAAGAAACTGATCTTCGAGAAAGCACATATTTTATACTTTTATACTATATTTATATTTGGGAAGAAGGAAGTGGAAAAATGTTTCCACCTTGTTTTTTTCCAATCAGATTACTTTTAGTAAAGTAAACATTTTCAAAGGGTCACCATTTGTTCAAGCCATCTGAGAAGTCAAAATTATATCATAACAATTCTGATTGGCCGATGGCACCGTGAGAACACAAACGTAGCAGATCTCAAGGGGCCATTTTTTCACACAGAAAACCATATTTCACTATTACAAGCCTTAAAGCCTGAGAAAGCTGAACAAAAAATTATAATTCTGACAGGTAAATTTTGTCTAATACTGACAACTAATAATATTTTTAAGCTGATAAAAAAGAATGTATCTTAATAAGTTAAATTCCGATAAATTAAAATCACTATTAGCTTTTCACAATTTCTGAGATTTGTGTACAACTTGGGGCTGGACGATATGGCAAAAATGCAATCTTAATAATTATTTTCCATATGGAACGATAACAATATATATTTCGATAGTAAAAAATGTTAATGATTCCAGATTTGAAAGAGTATCATAACATATTTACAGCCGATAAGCTTTGAGTAGACAAAAATTATCAACACACTTTTAGATTCCCATTGATGCACATTTCTGCAGTGTGATTGGCTCTTGGATCAATATAGATTTAAAAAGTCCAGAGCTTATTGTTATTGACATACACTTTGTTGTCGATATTATCGTTATAGATATACTATCTTTTTATCAGCTCATCCCTAGTACAAATCTTAAATTTCTCCGCAAGCGGCAGTCAACAAAGCTTTTAAATTATTTGTTAAAAATAATGAATAAAAAAGATCAATGTACAGGTATATAACAGAACAAAATAATAAACAGCAACTAAAAATGCACCAAATATTTGTCCGCTAAAAGTGGAAAAAGAAAGATGCCTGAAAGTATAAGCCAAAAAAAGACTGCTGTCCCAGTATTAAGTATGCAGATTTCACTCCAGTCATCATTACTGTGCAGTGTAAAGCGCCTTTCACACACGAAAAACAACGCTCTATAAAACCCATTCATTTTATTGGCTTGTGTTGCACCTGTTCAATCGAAGTGCAAGAGAGGTACTCTGTTCACTAGCCATTTAAATTAGCTCAATATTTTGGTATATATGTATTGCACTCTTGTAGGTTTATAATCATCTATGAATCTATCATGCTTACCAGAAAAGCATAGTTTGCTGAAATACCACACTGACAGAACATTATTTGGTATATTTTGTATCGCCGTTACAAGCAGCAAGTATGTGTGGTCAAGGAAGCATTAGCAAAATGATATCTTTCAAATTATTCAGTCAATAAAATTAAAAAGATGTGATTGCTTAGTTGGCTTGTGTTTTTTTATCAGTATAATTTAAGTTATTGAGTTTAATTCAAAATTTAAAAAGTCACGCAAAATTACTTTACATAATACTTTACACATTTGAAAACGTGAGAAACAATACTCTATGAAACCCATAAATTTCAATGGCTTGTGCCCAGCCATTCAAAGCACAAGAAAAGTAGACTACTCTGTTGACTAGCCATTTAAAATAGCTCAATATTTTTTGTATACATTTATTGCACTCTTGTAGTTGTATAACTATCTATAACCCGCACATGCTCACCAGAAAAGCATGGTACGCTCAAACATCACACTGACAGAAAAGAATGATTTGATATACTTAGTATCGCTATTGCAAGCAGCAAGCATGTGTGGTCATGGAAACACTGGTAACATAATAAATTTTAACTAATTCACTGTCAATAAAAAAAAAATTTAAATTATTATTTAATTGGCTTGTGTTTTTATTTTTATAATTTCAGTTATTTAGTTAAATTTTAAAAATGCTTTATATAATTTAATAATAGATAATTATTACAAAGAATTTTTGGCATTTAGTTAAGTGTGTACAGAATTTACAGTTTTGGCACATCATTTTAGTGCATTTCTAACAGAAAGGCATATGAAACAAAGTATTTGTTTTTTTTTTCAGGGGAAATCAACATAATTATTTATTAAACGTAAAAATCTGCAGGTTGTTTATAATATTGTACAGAATAACTTTTAGCCAAAAACACTGCTAACTGTTGCACTGCTGTAATAGTTTTCACTGGAATGACTGACATCCAGTCAGGTAATCATAAATCATCTAAAACACGCCTGAACATCTCAAATATGCACAATTACAAAATACGACTCTATATGAAATACGGGGAACGGCTTTTGACTGCTGAAAACAATGGTTGTAGTTTATTTACTTGTATGTCCACATAACTGGTGCACAATCCAAGTAGTTCACAAACAATTCAAAGCACTTGTGCATAGTATGTGCAAGCTGTGAATACATAATTTTCATGGTTAAAAATAAATAAATACTGTGCTAGACCAGTTTGTCCAACGATGAAAATACGTTTACATTTAGCAAAGTTTTTAATCCAAAGCGACTTACAAAGGAAGATGCATTTAGCGATTCAACAAGAAGAGTCAAACAAGATGTGCTGATTATACCAAGGAACTGTTAAGTGTTCAGAGAATTAAGAGTTAGAGTAAGTGGTGGTTTGATAGTGTCAAGCAAATATGGACCCCTATTTAGGCATATTTAGGCCCCTATTTAGGCATAAAAAGAAACCAAGTGAAAAAGGCACAAAAGACTAAAAATTCACAATATTTTCTGTTTGTTCCAGCATCCAGAGTGACAGAAAAGGTCAGAACGCACTAGCTCACGAACTTTTACACTCAGTGTAAGCTG